TCCATGGGTTTCAGCTACAATTTTAACTTACAATAATTATTTGTAGGCAGTCCTATATAACTACAATGCGGTCTATGCTTGCCGTATTGTAGAACTCGCAATTGCTGCCAAAGCAAAGGTGTATGCAACGACTCACCATGTGGTTGATTTAATATGGTGGACTATGTGGTCTAGATACTTTGCAACACGTGCTTTTGCAACATCTATAACTAATTTGAGGCATTATGATTGTTAACCATTTATTTTTCCTTTGTTGCAGTTGCCTAGACGATGGAATTTAGGAGAAAACTGGTAAGTGCAATGCATAACCAAAAATTCGTAGTAAAAGCAGTGCGAGCACAGAGTCGCTGGTTAGAAGATAAAGAATACCACTTCCGCTAGTGCTTTTTACTTGCTCGTAAAATAACTCTCTTCGCACAAGCATAACCCAAATTTCCTTGTAAATTTGCGGTGCATATTTTTTAGTGAAGTGTACATATTTACTTAAAAATATTTTATTACTATGCATACAATGCATGAAATACAGTTTAGAAATAATAATTTCAGAATATGGTGAATATTGACGACTTGGCTATCTCAACAAGATGTGATCCGAAAATACCGAAAAGCAGCGACCCGCGGACCGATACTTGTCGTTGTTGTAGCAGCATACAAGCTCTCCAAAGAGTTTTCGGGGAGTGATGCTGGGTGACAGTCCTTGGCCAAATATAAATCTGGGTCGTTCCGGTTACGTAGACCCGACTGTCGTGGGGACGATACTTGTCCAAGAGTATAGAGGTAAAAGCAATAATTTTTTCGTAAATACTATAGGGGTATTTTCTGAGTCTTGCAAATCCCTTGCACGCTAAAAACTGTTTTTCATATGGGACAGCTTTGCAAACCATGCACTAGCCATGGGTAATTACGCAATTTTTTTGGCGCTAGCTCAATAACGCCAGCGCCACCTGTGGTGTCGGCGGCCTAACCCAGCGCAATAGCGCAGTGTACTGAATTGAACACGGCGCCATCTGAGTGTCGCCGCAGTACCCATCGTCATACAGTACAGTACACCATACAGTCATGTCATGTCTATTATTTCTATAATTTTCAGCGCTGAGCAACTCTTGTACCGCCAACTGAATTTAATTGCTAGGAATGTATTAAATGTCACGATATTCGGGAAATGTTTAGTACCACTCACACCGTTTTTTGGGTGGGGGGCGGAGGGGGAGGGGGCGGGTCCCCCAAAACACCCCCCAATAGAAAGGAGACAGTCGCCGCTTTCTAAAAAGGGGAACCCCTCCCTTGGACTCCTCCCACAGGCACCTAGGGAACCGTTTGAAAAAGGGGGAAAAACGGATTTTTCTTAGGCAAACTGAGCAGTTTGAAGTGGAATATGACCCAACTAACAGAAACCGTGGGATTTTTTAATAAAAGAAATTATGCCAAATTAGATATGGGGGGATTTTGAATAAAGAATAAAAAGTTGATTAAAAATAGAAAAAAAAAGTTTTTATAAAAAAAAATGTTCTTTTTAACAAATGTATTTTTGCGTAGAATTCCTTTCTACGTAAGCGGCCTTCGGCCGCACTTAGGGATTATAACCCTCAGGCAGTANCATTTGGACGGAATAGCCCGAAATAGTTGTGAGCGGTACTAAACCCCACCCCGATATTCTATCATTCTTGANGACCGATACTTGTCGTTGTTGTAGCAGCATACAAGCTCTCCAAAGAGTTTTCGGGGAGTGATGCTGGGTGACAGTCCTTGGCCAAATATAAATCTGGGTCGTTCCGGTTACGTAGACCCGACTGTCGTGGGGACGATACTTGTCCAAGAGTATAGAGGTAAAAGCAATAATTTTTTCGTAAATACTATAGGGGTATTTTCTGAGTCTTGCAAATCCCTTGCACGCTAAAAACTGTTTTTCATATGGGACAGCTTTGCAAACCATGCACTAGCCATGGGTAATTACGCAATTTTTTTGGCGCTAGCTCAATAACGCCAGCGCCACCTGTGGTGTCGGCGGCCTANGCCATTTAATTTGCATATGCAACCAAAGTCAGACGCGTGATTTTGAAGGTGTTTTTATTTAATGAATTGTGATGAATTGGTTAATATTAAAGTCGTAAAGCAAGTTATAACAAATCAAGTAAAGTGTAAAGTGAAGGGGAATACAAAAATATATTGGTAAAGTGGCTAATTTAAGCAGAATAGGAGTGATAAATGTACGCTAATTTCCGAATTTTACAAAAAAGGGCATATTTCAAACCCAATTTGTAAATAAATTAGTAACCAAAATTTACAAAAGTGAGTGTTAAAATGTTGCGTCGACCCTTGACTACAAGTGTGTGAAATTTTTTTTTGGATCGGGCCACCCATTTGGACGGAATAGCCCGAAATAGTTGTGAGCGGTACTAAACCCCACCCCGATATTCTATCATTCTTGAGTAAAAGCTTTAAATTTGCCTTCTCAACATTCAAATGCAAAAACAAAGTACGTGTAAATTTTCAAAGAGTTAAGGCGAATTGTGAGTCTGCCTCATATGTTTCTTGGTGTTTATGGCGCTAGCGCTTTCCATATACTGGTCGCGCGGCAACTCCGGCTACCGTGTTAACGCAATTGCGCCGCGCAGCGCAGTGTTACCCATGCCTACCATGTACCGTGCAAGAGCTTTGCAAGACTGAAAATACCTCTTATATGTAAATAATGATGATCTATATATTTTCTTTTCTGACATCTCTTATGAATCAATGTGATATCATTTAAATTAACTGAGGCAAACATTTTATATCTAGAATATGTTGATATGCTACATATTTTAATTATATCCATTCTTATTTTCTCCAGAATCATCCGACTATGCACTCAGGGGGAAAGCAGTAATTTGGCGTACATACGTTTGCCTAACACAAAATCTCAAGGTAAATAAAAGAAAACGGTATTATTATTTATGTATATACTTTATCTATGATGATATTATAAACCATTCACAGACAACCATATAAAGGTACAACTATGAACAAACTGTTCCAATATTCTTTTGGGATAAGCGCGTTCTGTTGAACTGGTTATGGATAATGGTTAGAAAATGGCACTGAGTTTCTTAAAATTCTGTGTTCTATGGACTGCGTAACGTGAAACTAATTAATAAGATATTTTTAATTCCAGGAGTTTTCCACTTTTTACTGGTACATATTGAAAGTCAACGACCTGCTTTTGGACATCGTTTTTGTAAAAATTCCATGTAGATTAATTAGTAAATAAAACCGTTTTACTCTTAAATATAAAATTTTTGTTTATTTTTTTATTAAAAAATCAAAACTTGTTTAACCAAATTTGCACGCTCACATCGTTTTTGTAAAATAAGACGTGGTATTTAGATTGTACATGAAACCGATTTGCCACAAATATTCAGCACTATTCTGCATTTCGACTCGAATCGAAATTTTCTCCATTTGACAACTTCGGTATTCTGCGTTCCGTTTCGTTTCGATCAGTCTTCGAAATTTAAGATATAGCCATGATAAAAATATAGCAAGGTAAAACCGTTGTTGTTTTAGAAGCATACAAGTTCCCCAAAGAGTTTTTGGGAAGTGTTGCTGGAGTGACAGTCCTTGGCCAAATGTAATGCCTGGATTATAATGGAAATAACAGAACTGAGTGAACTGTCACTTAATTATCCATTGTATGTGCAATGAATTCAAACGATTATAATGCACTTCAACGCAATGTAAAACGGAAGCATCTAAAATCAATAGATCCTTACGAATTCGCTGCGATTTGTTACGATTCGCCCCGTGCATTATAACCAAGGTATAAATCTGGGTCGTTCCGGTTACGTAGACCCGACATTTTAAAATCATAAAAGTGAGAGTAAAAAAAAGGAATTGTTCAAAGTTGTTGTTTGAGATTGAAAATGAGAATTAGTGCGTTCCAGAACGTCTACGATTTGCAGGTTTTGCAGGATTAAGTTCAAAGTCGTTCCCGTACGCCACGTTCACATTGAAGGCGAAAACAGCTGTTCCTGTAAAACCTGCAAATCGTGAAGTACGGAAACAGGCTAAATGTGTGCGCACGATGCAACGTTATTTTAAATTTTTTTTTTTGTTTTCATTGTCTATAAATAAAGACTGTGAAATGCACTGAATACAATTTATTCTTTTTATATAACATTGTGGAGTGCTCAAACGACGTTTATAATTTCACTGGCTTTGAGCGGTGATTAATGCAGTTCAAGATGAATTTGTTATAATTCTTCACTCATCTGAAAAGGTTAAACACATGTTCGCATCAGCAATCTGGGACTCGCTCTGCTCTTCAAGCAATAGAATTATGTTTCCACTTAAATAAGGAACAAACAAAAATTTTATTTTTAAATTAAAATCAGGTAGATATATTTAGTTATTTTAAAATTTTTACAAATTTTAACTTCATAAGCTGGCAGAGCTGGGTGAGTGCAATTACATTACAATTACAATTACATTACTCAGTAGTTGTAATTAGGAATCAATTCCTTCGGTTCACGGCAAAGGAATCGATTACTTGCCCACGACAGTCGGGTCTACGTAACCGGAACGACCCAGATTTATATCTGGCCAAGGACTGTCACTCCAGCAACACTCCCCAAAAAGTCTTTGGGGAATTTGTATGCTGCTACAACAACAACAACATTACTTTCTCAAATCCTCGAAGTAATTTCAAATGGAATTGCTTTTTTTTTTAATTCCATTACAAGGAATTTCATATTGTAATTGGAATAAATTACGCGCTAGTAAAGTAATTTTTTTCACTTCCTTTGAAAGGAATTGAAAATGTAATTGATATTTTTCGGATGCCATTCCGCAAAGTAATCGAAAAATTTATAAAAAAGAAAATTTACTGTTGAATTGCAATAGCTTTGTTAAATTACTTGCTTGCCTTGCCTTGAATAAATAACTTGTACCTAAATTGAAAAAAAAAACTAATAACATTTTCAATTCCATTCAAAGGAATTAAAAAAAAAAATTACATTTGAAATGACTTCAAGGAATTGAGAAAGTAATCAATTCCATTGCTGTGGACTGAAGGAATTGATTCTTAATTACAATTCCTTGTAATTTGTAATTGGGTGATATTTAATTCCTATAAGAATCATAACGATCCAGCTCTGTAAGCTGCTATAGTATGGTAGCAATTATTTCTTTTGTTTTGTTTGGATTTCACACATTCCTAGGCAACCATCTGATTTCGGAGATGTGTTCCGTCTTCCTCTTCTTCTTTCTTTCGATTCGATCGTAACTCAGAATATTAAATAACGATTGTAGCGCAGCGGAATGCGGGAACGTAATTGAAATACAGAATAGGGCTGATTGAATTTTTGTTTATTTGCTCTCAAAAATCATTTTTAACCAAATTTGCACGCTCCCTCAAAGCTAGTACAGTATCTTGTTTCGCCCTCATTCGATCGCCCTTGGATTTCTTACCAATACCTAACTTGGGTAGGCCGCGGTTTAATCCTTCTAACAAAATACATGCTTTGCACGGTTGTTGAGATGAAACAAATCCGCAACGTTCACATGTACCCCTAACTGGTTTTTTCACAGTGTCTTTAAATTTGAGTTGCTCCCCTGAATGAATAATGTCCATTATAACAGATGGGCGCACCCTTTCCAAATCTTTTAAATATGCGCGCGCATGTCCTCGATATGCATTTGGCGCAAAAACGCACTCAGTTGAGAAGTACACTAACTTTTTATAATGAGCATACATTACAATTTCCTTTTCGTAAGCATACTTTAGTGGTTTGACCCGAGGTATCGTATCTTCGCTGCCACCGGTGCGTATTTCTGTACAACGTCTTAAACGAGCAGTGTCTCCTCGCAAAATATTCATCAATACGGTCTCGGCAATATCATCTGCATTATGGCCTGTAGCTATACTATCTACTTCAAGTAGTTTTGCGCCACGATCCAATGCTTGTCGACGAAAAACACCACAAAAAGTACAATTATTGGAACGTCCAATTTGCGCAACAATACGATCCATAGTCCATCCATATAGCTCATCATATGATAGTATCTTTAGAGGCATTTCATAATCATCACGATTTTGCTTGACTGTCTCCAAACTGTCATCCCGATAGCCAGTTATGCCTTCGTCGATGGATAGTAGCACCAACTGCAGCCCGTAATCATGGCGTTCATTTAGCAACTTTAGTACATATGCCAAAACTGTCGAGTCTTTCCCACCACTGGCCGCCACGGCCACTTTTTCTCCACGTCTAAACAACTTGTTGGTTATAATCGTGTAATGAATTTCTGCTTCAAATGCGGCAAAGAAGCAATCCTTACAGAGCGCATCTGATGTTTTAGGACGCTGGAGAGGGAAATAAAAATTCAGTCAGATACTATATTTAGCTGACTCATTACTTACCTTAAGTACCGCATTTTTACCACAATTCCCTTTGCATTTAATAGGCATTTTTCAATTAAAATTGTGTTGAATAAAAAACAAGACGAACATTGTGGTCAAAATATTTAGGTATGGGAATAAAAATGATACTGAGGGTATAAAAATGAGTACATTAATACTCGATACCTTATTTGGTGATTTTACTCGATACTTTGCAAAGTACTCGTAGTATCGAATACTTTTTAAAAAACACACTTTTTAAATTTTTTCTTCCATTGGCAACACAATTTTCTTAGCTTATATGGATTACTATCTTTCAATTTTTCCCATCACTTAAAATAAACTGTAACTGCGTGCAGTCTGTAGCATAACATAAACCAAATAAGTTAAAGTTTAATGGCCTTATTCATAAAACATAAAGTAGGTTTAAAGAGCTTAATAAAATGACATTTTCATAAATTTTTCAGTTTATAAACCTTTTTTATTTTTTATGAAGAAGACCATAAAACTTTACGCAAAGTTCACCAAAATGCAGAATTTTTAGAAACTTTTTGGGTACGCAGTTTTGTAACCTATTCAAATTTACGTGTAGCCTACTATCGTTGACTTTTAATTCAAACTTGCACATTATTATACTAAAATTGAATAGGCTACAAAAATGCATACCCAAAAAGGTTACAAAAAATTCTTAATAAAATTTAAAATATAAAATATATAAAAAAAGTACTTTTCTTTCGATATTTACTTGGATCGCAATAAAAAGTATAAAGTACAAAAATACCAGGAACCAAAAATACAAGATCACCTCAGCATTCCAGTAGCCCGTTATAATCGCATTTAGGAAAAAAGTTGGGCGATTTTGACATTAGCCGTTTGTTTATATTTGTTTGTTGCTCACAACTTGGTGGTGTCGTTTTACTGAAATTTTCTTAATTTTCGCTGGTGACAACGTGTGCACACATAAGGTAAAGAATAATTTAACACAGCGACATGATTTATAGAAGAATTTGTATAATAAAAATGATTATTCATGCGTTCAACAATTACGCGGTTTTCTTCGTTCCCTTCATTGTTTACTTCTTACAACAAAGAGGGCGTCAAGATTTCGACAGCTAGAAAATTACTTTTTTCTTTCTTTCATTCGCGCGTGATCTTGTGTCTTTCACTCATGCACAAATACTTGGTAAATTGAGAAAAGTATCGAGTATATACTTGGATTTACTTGTATCGATTCATCCCTATACTAGTAATTGAAAATCAATATTTAAAACTGTGCCAAATTTTTCCTAAAAAATGTGGGGAAATGCATGTAAATGTGCCAACACATAAATTAAAAATAGTTCATAAGGTACCATTATCTTTATAAAATATATTTGCAGTACTTATTGCATATGAGAAAAACAAATCTCACGTAGAACCTTTCCTAATGCGTTCTTTCATTATGAAGAGTACGCTTAATACAAATTTACACCATACAGAAACAGAGTATTATCTGAATTCTAAATGGAGTTATCGATATCTATTCTATCGTCTTGTAAATGTTTGTTTATTTCTTCTGGTAATGATCATTAAATCTTGTTGCTAGTTTTAATCGAATTCTTCAACACCTGTTCAGCTGATTTTTATTTTGTTGTTTGACCCATTCAATGCTTATGAGAAACGTAAACGATTACTAAGCTATTTCTTTACAATAAGTGCCTTTTATACATAGTGATTTCACAATGTTTAATAAAAAAGTGCATCCAAAATTGGAATCGATAAGTGTGTTTTCCATGATGGAAATTTGCGGCGACAATGCTTCAGCAATGGCCTTTTTAGAGGAGTCGGCCTTAGTGCCTTCAAAAAAATCGATTCCTCCAAAATGTTGCGGGATAAGCATGAGAGTGGAAAATGATGTTCGTCGAAAGCTGGGTTGGATGTGGAGGTGCGGATCTTCAGTTACCAAGGGGAAAACTTCGAACTGCCGGAAAATTTTGAATCCAAGTGATGGATCTTTCTTTGACGGCAAGTACAAAACATTAAAAATAAAAAGGCTTTCAGAATGTATTTAAAAAATATATAATTTGTAGGTAAATTTTGTCACATTTCAATCGCAGATGCTTTAGCCATATTATTTTGCTTCGTAATGGATGTTAAGGTGAGTAAAAATTTGTTCACTGCCTCTACGTGTTCACCATTGGAAGTCATAACTTTTTGTTTGGCTGTCGTTTCTAATAGCAATTACTATAATATATGTACATACATATGTATGTATGTATGTATGTATGTACAATAGATTTTTTTTCTATTAAGTATTATGCTAATGTACTTACGTATTGATTCATGAATCATCATTTTGAAATATGTACTATATATGAAAATTATATTCCATCATCTAAGGAGTTTAAAATATGTACATAAATTAGTAACTTAACCCAAGGGCAAAATCGAAGTATATACATGTGTGGGTATGCACGCTTGTAAAGAAACGTGTTATCTAAAAATTAAAAACATGTTCTATTAACAAATGCATACAACATAAGATAAGCCGGTCAATATAATCGGTAACAAGTAGAAAATTTCATATGTAAGTCGCAAAATTAAAACCTACCATAATCTTGGTTAGTTCACTGATATTAAATTTTTGTACAACATCACGTAGTACCTTATCGATTGTAATGTTCCATGATTAAATATTACTGAAAAAATAGTTATATACCCAACAAACATTTACGTTTGAGCTCAATTTGAGGGTAAGTTGAGAACTAAGGTATTTCTCAAATCTCTTAACGTTGTTTCTCAATAGTACCTCAAGTGGAGGAGCATAGCATTCTCAATAAAATGGACATTTTTCTTTGTATGAATAAAGTACAGTTTTTCAAGATGAGAAAATGCTAGTTCTCAACTTGAACTCCAATGTAATTCTAAAATTGCTCGTTTCTGTAACTCTTCTCCACCGATTATTTCTCTACTGGTAGAGAATATACGTCATTCTCTACTATCTCAATTCGCCTTGGTAGAGAATTGTTACAGAAACAAGCTACTGGAATTGAAACGACATACATAGAGGAATTTAAATATTAATTTTTACTTTTATATCTCCTGTTGTATTATGTAGTTAATCAATATCGTATTACAATAATTCACTTCACTGTATACAGTCCGACAGTAATTTTGCCACTTGATTCACTTCGCGTTTTATTTTCTTTCAAGATTATTTGAGGATACTTTGTAAATTACTTACTTTTTGTTGGTAATTTTCCTCCTTATATAGCTTTAGTTTTTCACTTGATAATTAAAAATTCGGTTCTCTATCCCTTTTTTGAGTTGGATATCAACTTGAGAACTATAAATTTCTTCAAGGTTGGAGAAATATTTTTTTGGTGTTTATTGGGTAATAACACACTGCAACACTCAAAAAGTGTTGGGAATGGGACCAATAGCATACATTAAAAGAGGTCAAAATATGAATAAATACCAAAGCATTTGCAAAAGTTGGTTGTCATTTCCACTTTGTATCGATGTGAAGTTGTGAATTAAAGGCTAAAAAATAAACAAGTCAAATGATTTTTTTTTTGGCTTCGCTCACAAATTTCATACCTACATACATACATATGTATATGTATGTATATATAATATACATTTTCCAGTTGAGCTGTGCTAAAAACTCTCATTGGGAGTTTATTTCGTCGATTTCAAAATGAGATAAAAAACAAATGGTAAACAACTTGTTCAAATTCTTTGGTACTTTTCCATTATTAGACCAGCTTAATCACCTGCTGTTGGTCCGATTCCCATCACCTCGAACTTTTTGAAATTTGGTTTACAGTGTAATTATTGTGTGAATGATAAATAAAGGCTAAAGATTAATTAAATATTTTACTACGGCGTACAAAATACATTATTTGATTTAAAAAACTGTCTTTCTTTTTAAATAGATAATATTTGCATTGAAACATTTGAATGCTTATCGGCAACGCAAGGGTGACGCAACGTCTTTAAGTACCGGCACTATAACGGACTACTACAGTCATTGTCGTGAAATAACAGAGATCATATCCTCTCATACAGATTTAGATTTGGGAAATTTGGGCAAAATAGTCTTATTTGATGAGACGTTTTTAGCAAAAAGAAAATATAATCGTGGTCGCTTTAGCGAAGAAATGACTATTAACGTAGTTGGCCTATTTTGCAAGGAGGATAGAACAGGAATATTTTATAAAGTTAACCAAACGAATATTAAAAGCTTATGGCCGTATATTGCCGAACTGGTTGACCAAGGGAAGCCAAAGAACAATGCCTTCTCCGACGAAGAGGAAAGTGATTACAGCATGGAAGAGATCATTCAAAAAGGAAAGTCAATAAGAAACGTTTCTTCAAAAAAGAAAGCACCAATACTTAGTCATCAAAATATGGGAGCAACTTTTTACAGGTTTTTAATTTAACGTACACACATAAATTTTTTAGTATACACTTTTCATTGCATAACTTTTAGGCGTCATTATTTGGCAAAGTTTGAAACTGATGGCGAAAGAATAACGACATTCCTCGAGCATATAAGGGAAGTTTACCCTGGATATCAAGATGGTGTATTAAGGACGGGTCTTTTCTTAAAGGTAATAGATCCAATAACAGAAAATTCAAGCCATACTATCAAAAAGAGAAAAGTCGAAGAAGAAATGGATATTATTATAAGCCAATGAGATTTTATTTGTTTTTTATTTTAGCCAAATTGTAGTTAGCCAATTTTTATGTATTAAGTATATATGTAATTATACAATGTTTACAAAGAATTTATGCGATTATTTACAGATTATTTGATAAGACACAAACTCATGTATATATTGTATTAGCTTAGTATTATTTTCAATAGAAATATTGATTGCAATTCCAAATGAAAATAATAAACAAATTGTGGCCTTTCGAACTCGGAACTGATAAAGATTATTACTTCCAATTATCTTTTTTATATTTACGTTGTGTGGTCAGAAAGAAATTTAGAAAACGTTTTAAAAGAAAAGGCAATAAATACGAGGGCATGATGACTCTTATTATTAACAGATTTCATGTAGATAAATAGTTTGCAAAGTTTAAAAGTTGGAACTTGTTTCAAATATGAGCTTTGTATGGTCCAGAGAGTTTTGATAATTACTTTAAATACCGTTTTTTGTATTGTTAGATATTTATTCAAAGTGTAAAGATATTCAGCCTTATCCTGAGTTTCGCCCGAACACAAATTCACCCGAATTTTCATCCGCCCCTAGTAAATACAAAGTGAAAACAACCGGTTCGGAAAAAATGAAACTCGTAAGGCTAATTTAAGGGGTTAGAATCATAAGGGTCTAAGTGACATTTTTTGAAAATATAAATTATACCCATATCTGTATAGTTAAATATAGTATTTATTTGGTGACAAAGAGTAAACATTCTTTGAATTAGTTAATTAACCTGCATTCATTTAGGCAAGAATCATTTCAAATGAATTTACCCAGAATTTACAATAAGTAATTAACTTTAACTTTAATTATCTTAAAACAATGTCAGACCAACTTAGATCCTTTTGATTCTAACCCCTTAAATTGTGATAAACTATCGGGTCTTTTAATTTTTAAAGGTGGTTAATGGTTAAGGTATCTTTTATCGACGGAACTATTTTTCTGAGTTCTCCAATCACTATCAACTTTAAAATATCCAAGGCAAATTTATACAAGGTGGTGTTACTGGCGAATTTAGATTTTCGCCGCAGTACTTCGTAATGTCAAAATGATGTGTTTGTTGTAATATGAATTCGCCTTGTTTACTACAAACACATCATTTTGACATTGGGAACTACCGCGGCGAAAATCCAAATTCGCCAGTACCACCACCTTGTACAAATTCGCCTTGCCGTTACCTTTCGATCACATCTTGCCACAGAAAACGATAATTTTAAACACTGTGCGAATGCCTGAAGGAGCAAATGCACCACACAAGTGGTTTGTCGTTTTTCTCAGTTTTTTTTTGTTTGTTTGAGTTATGACACCATTGAAGTAAATGAGCGATATGTACACCATTTCCACGACAGTCGGGTATATAGGGCTTTCGCATGAGACGTTTTTTCAGGTAACTTTTACGTTCAATTGACGCAGGGTTGCTCGAAAAAAATTTAATGGCTACAAATATTAAAATATAAAAAAATATAAAAATATTCGCCATATAAAGGCGTTTGCATTGTTCAACTTTGCATTCTACTTTGGGTTGAACGGCCTTCCAACGAATCGCTTTCAAAAAAGTTGGTCGCCAGCGAACATTTAGCCATTCGACTTTTTTTGTGCAACTCTGCGCGAGTTGAACGCAAAATCGCCTCGTGCGAACACCATTATACGTAACCATGGTGGTAGATGGCGCGGTGAAATGAAAACTGAGTTGTCCAACTACGAAATGACAGCTGATGTTAAGACAGCCGATGGTAAGAAATTCGACAAGATATGGTTTAACAGTGAAAATTTGCGGTCTCCACCCTGAAAAATATTTCCGTCCACTCATCCACATGGAAACAAAAAGTGAAAAGGGAGCCGGTTCGTGGTAAATGAAACTCATGGTAAGGCTGATTATATATTAGGGGTCTTCATCAAAAGTGATAAACTCTTGATAAACTTGATAAAGTGATACATTTTTCTTTTGATAAATGAACTGCCAAATCTTGTATGGAAACCTATTTAACCAAAGTTAATCACTTTATAAAACGACTTTGGTGGATAAATGTATAAATTTCAGCAAAATTCAACCCTTAGGCAGTCTGCACACGGTTAGTATAGCGTATACAGTTTTTTATGCAGCAACGATTCCTCTACGCCTCAAGATCTGCACACGAAGGAACTTCAAAACGTCAAAGTATCAGGCAAAATATCTGTGTTCATATGGAAAAGTAGCTTATGTCGAGAGGCTGGCTTTAGTATAAATCGGCATTCGCAGCATACGATTGCGAATGACTCACTGGCGCTAAGCCGTTAAACAACTTTTGGCATATAAACGTGGAAGAAATAGTTCCCATACTAGCAAGTCAATATTCTTATTAAGTCTCACCAAAAAAATCTTTGTGGTTTAAAGAATAAAGGGAATGCCGCATTATACTAAAGCCAGCCTTTCGACATAAGCTACTTTTCCATACGAACACAGATATGTTAAGTGATGCAAAATATTTTTTTATTTAACACTGCTGTACGCCAAGCGATTTGCAGCATACAGCTCTCCATTTAAATGCACGTGTGCGGCGTACAACTTTCGTATGTACATCTAATACGCGTCTAAAGCTATACGACCCATGAACCAAAAAGACAAGATCACGCGGGCAGGAGACTAGCCCGTTAGAATCGCATTAAGGAAAAAAGTTGAACGATTTTGACATTAGCCGTTTATTTACATTTCTTCGTTGTTTACAATTTGGTGGTGGCTTTTTACTGCAATTTTCTTCATTTTCGCTTGTGACAACGTGTGTACACATAAGATAAAGAATAATTTAACACAACGGCATGATTTTTAGAAGAATTTGCATAATAAAAATGATTTTTCATGCGTTCAACAATTTCGCGGTTTTCTCCGTTCTCTTCGTTGTTTACTTCTTACAGCAAAGATGGCGTCGAGATTTCGGCAGCTAGAAAATAACTTTTTTCGTGCTTTCCGTCCCGCGTGATCTTGTGTCTTTCGTTCATGTATACGACCCGTGTGCAGACTGCCTTAGGGTTTACACCTGACAATATATTGGCATTGTTTTTTTCTTCTTTTTTACTTAGGGTTTACACTGGACAATATTGTCCAGACAATTATGTCAAAATGATGTGTTTGTTGTAATATGAACTCACCGTGTTTACAACAAACACATCATTTTGACATAATTGTCTTAGCAATATTGTCCGGTGTTAACCCTAAGTTAGTAAATAATTATCAGGAAGAAGAAGAATGGGAAAATCTAGTGAATTACGCTCACAGAGAGCGAAATAAAAAATAGTAAAGAAACGCAAAACCAGCAGAAACTAGCAACTAAGCAGCTGATCGATGTATTTGACTATTGAAAATAGTCGTGCGGAATGAGCGGAAAAAAGAAGTGTCCCGCAAATATTCGTCTAAAAATGTATCCAATTGGATCTATTTATAACAAACGGTATCCCTGGACGCGAATCGGTTAGGGATATTTATTGCTTTGGGGAATTTTGTTTAACCATATAAATGCAACCCTACGAAAACAGGAAAACGAAGAAATAATAAGGCTAGATACACATTTGGAATTTTTGCGGTCAATGACGCTCAATGGCACCCGAATGAAATGCAGTGAACGCTTAGGTATAACAATAAAGTCCATGCAAATGCTTTCGAAAGAGCTCTTTGACCAGCACCAAAGTGTACAGCAAATTTTTCTAAGTAAATTTTGTCAAGACGACTTAGAAAACTATTTTATTAGAGAAAGAGCTAGCCGAGAGACAAGTACCAATGTTTCAGCTCACGAAATCCGATATATAGCTGCTACATCAATTTCAATTAATATTTTGCGTGAAAGATTGGTTAATAAAGGGGTAGATTGCGATGAAGACGATATAAATGTAGTAAATAATTTAAACCCCGAAGATCGTTATTTTGAAGAACGGGAAACGTTAAATGAGCAAATCGTCATTGAAGAATTAGAAATTCCAGACGAGAATAATGCTGACGTTCAGGTGCAGCGGTATTTGACTGGTTATGCGATTGACCAGCTTAAATGCGAAAAGTGCGCCAGCATCTTGATGAAGGCACATGGTGATTTATTACTAGACTCAGAAGCCCTGATAAAAGCCGCAAAAATCTTTAGGGACGACTGCAGTTTGAAAAGTGTCAATCCTCAAGACTCCGTTTTCGAGGTGTGCCGACATCAGATGGTGTGGTACCGTCAACTCTTCGCAAAATACGCTCATTTAACGGATCTCAGATCTCGAATGTTGTCAGCTATCATAGAAAAAACCGATCAAGTTTTTCCACTGTGGTTCCTGGAAGCTGGCGACTGTTTAAACCATCGCTTACAACTTGTAGAAATTTTGATAACCAATCTTTTATTTAAAAACGCAAATTGGGCGTTGAGGGAGGAAGTTGAAAGTCAGAGGCGGAATAACATTTTGTTCGATCTTCATTGTCACGGTCCCACAGAGTAAGAGGCAAAGTTACTGAAGGTACGTTACCTCTATATATTTTTTTAAATGTTTATAATTTTCTATTTTTTTTTTCAATTTACTAATAGGTCAGCTGGCAACACTAATCCACACACCGCATAAAATTTGCTTTCATCAACGAACGAACACTGCAGTCACAACACAATTCACCAATTTCTCAATCTTTGAATATAGCAAATTAAGCACAACGTTAAAAAAAAATATCAACACACCACCGCACCACCGTGTATGCGGTACGTAAGATGTCTGAATTCGCGCTGAATGGCTGAATATATGAACAAGTTTTATTTGTCACTTACTAAAATATTTTATAAAAAGTTGTGATTCAAAGATATATATTTTTTTACCAAAACATCCTATTTATATATAGAAAAGCAAAGGTGTAGGCGTTCAAATTTGCTAAATTGAACAAAGAAAGTACCAAGTACGGAAATATACTTTTTATAACTTATAAAACAGCAACAACAAAGAAGCAATAAAATTCACGATCCGTCGACATTGAATATAAAGAATTTGCTATCATCGATAAGCCAAAAAGGTGCCAAAAATAACTAGATATAAAGCCAAGAGTGCCAAACACATATAGACGTCCATGTTAATAAAATAAACTGCATAACAGTTAATAACCGAACCACATCAACATTTTACATATTGTTCCGACTTTATTCTTGGAAAACGTAGTATTGAAAGGTAGTGTTCATTTCCAAATATGGGCAATGCAGGCAGCACTAGTATGCATCGTGAGCGCCACAAGTCGAGTGACCTGTCAACACCAAACTCCCCATTTCGAGAGATGCCCGGCCGTGGCGATTCAGTTGCCTCAGCATCTGGAGTTGTAGCGGTCGGTAGTGTCGTTGGTGGTGGGGCACAAGCCTTTACTTTTGACAAAAACATAACAAATGACAAGAATGTGCGTTCAGTCTTGCTCGGCGGTTCCTCGCAAGAAGACGAAGATCAGCCATACTATACGAAGCCCGTCGGTAGCGCAGCTACTACAGATACAATCACAACACCCACCCCACGCAAACGCGCTAATACTGTTTCAGAAGGCAGTTCTACACCGCAACACAACAACTCTGGAAGCAATATGTCTGTAAAAGAAGCGGCTGGTAATTCCAATGATGATAAAGAAGAGTGCTCCACAGAAGAGCTACCTAGAAATTCTGGATTACCCACTGTTTTGCGTTGGGATGGAGGTGGCAAGAATGTCATGATTTCGGGCACGTTCTCCAAATGGAAACCTCTACCCATGGCACGTAGTCATGGAAATTTCGTGGCAATTATTGACCTTCCAGAGGGCGACCATCAATATAAATTTTATGTGGATGGCGAATGGAAACATGATCCTAAATTGGTGAGTATGTATTTAAACAATATCGAAAGAGTAATTTGTAATACCTATTACTGTGCAGTAAAGAAAAAAATCGATATTCAGTGGCCATAATATATGTACTGACGCGTATTCAAGTATAATCTATGCATATGTATGTACATGTTACACAGCTATATTAGCATATGTAGATATGAGGATGTGTACTTTACTGAGACGCAATAATGGTGCGTGATAGAAACTAATTGACCATCGCCGGTGTTTTTGTTATTTTGCTATTGTTGATTTGGTATTGGGGTTGAAGGAGCTTGGTTGTGTAATCGCTTTTAAAACTTACTGGATAATGTAGCAAATTATAAAGTCAAGTATTAGTATATTATAGTACGTACATAGATTATTCGCAGTAGTCATAAGGAGATTTAAATTAATCGTTTGCACAGTATGATATTTGCACAAATGTAGTATATGAACATACATACATATCGTCACCTGAAATGCAAAAGACGAAACAACATCATCGCTGAAATAAAAAAAGTTACAACTAATAAAAAATTCAAAATTCACTTTTTCATTGATACGATGGATTTGATAAACTACAACTCCCCACGTCTTTTTATAAAATAAAATAAAAATATTAATCACGACTTTTTCCATTTCAGTTGCGATGTTGTTACGTCCTTTTGCATTTCAGGTGACGATATGTACATATGTTTGTATGTAGACCTGTTAGTAAAGTGATGAGGGTACAAGCGTACATATATACATACATATGTATATCATCGTTCAAAGAAGGGTTGTTGCGAATATTCGCATTCGCATTCGCAACCGCGGAGCTTCCGTATTAGTTTTAACATTCGCATTCGCAATAATAAATGCGGAGCTTTTGCGAATGCGAATATTTTGCAAGTGGACCGATAAAACGTATACATATACGGCACAAAAATGACAAATTGTAGCCAATATTTTTGCTTCTGGTCGTAGGAGTATTTGTGTAACAAAATTGGTCAAATGTTATATTTATCAACTTTGATAAAAATGTCTTTAAAATATTATTTCTTAAGCTATATAATCGAGCTATCAAAGGGCATCCACAAAAGTTCCCACTTCTTCTTGACCTTTTTTTTTTGTGCTTTAAATACCTGCTTTGGTTTCTTTCTTTATTAGGATGTTTTTGGACCAATCTTAAAAAAAAAAACTACTAGACACAAAAGAAGAAAGTGTGCACTGTAATTCTTAACAAAATTTTCGTGATTTGCTTTTTCATCTGACTCTTCAGTCAGTTTGGATGTGTTTGTGAAAATAAATATCCCAGTAGAAATTTTATGCTTACGACATCGCTAGCACAACACGTCCGTTCACTAAAATTTTTGTACAAGACTGAAAATATTACAAAAAGTACACTTCAAATTTATCAAGAAATGTACTTAAAACAACAACAACGTACGTTCGCTTGCAATTCGCTAGAATTTGAATTTATTCGTGAAAATTCATGACTACGCATGAATTGTTTACACTAAGTCACTCATATAGCAAGCATTCTTCATTCTACTGGGATGCGTTAGTTACACAAACACGACTAAATGATTCAACTGTGTGTAGTCGAAGGCGAGTCAACACGTCACAAATGGCTCGCGAGTCAGACGTACCGTGTATGCCACCTATTACATATATTCGTTTGCATAGCTTCAAATGGGGCACTTTGGGGAATTTATTTTTAGCAAAAAATATTAAAACCCGTAGTTTTGTTTACTTGTTGGGTAATATTTTTTTCATAGGGATATACATTGGATCCTTGGCTAAAAACTTCTGTGGTAAAACTGTTCCTTCTTTGCTATTTAAAGTCAAAGAGTAAGCTCCTTCAATAGGGATTTCCAGTAGAAATGATCAACGTCTAGGTATAAAGAGAATCGCTGCTCAAATAATTAAAAAGCTATAGGTCTGACCTTTAATTAGATAAGAATTACGTAACTATCTGATATTGACATGCTTATAAAAAACGGGGTGCTTTAAAAAAAATAACAGTATTCTGATCTGATTCGGCTGACAGCCACGACTTTGAAAACAAGAATTTTGTTCAAAAATAATAACTTATTTTCCATATCCACCTATTTAGCTCGCTATAAGCACAAATTTTTCAAAGCAGTCGCAGAAGAAAGTATTAAAAATGAATAACAAAATCTAAAATCGAAAAGTGCTGATGACGTTACAGGTTCCAAAAATTCTGAAACAACATGACATATGTATCTGGTTTGGCTTGTAAGCGCTGTTTAAACATCGATCTGGCCATTATGCTAGATGCTAAGTGTTTTTTTTTTTTTTAAATAATTGACATCCACATTCGCATCCACATCCGCCGATGATAGCTGTTAGATATTCGCATCCGCATTCGCATCCGCGGATGTCTAAAATTCCACATCCGCAACATCCCTAGTTCAAAGTATAAAACCGCGTATCGTCGTTGTGTAAAACCACGTAACTGACTTTTTTTTTTGGACTTGCTCACACAAGCTCTTGGCTCAAGCATTATTCATTCGTCCTGAAATATACTAGCCAGAAATGCGATTGCTTTATAGAAAAGAGAACCATTTTGAAATATGAGTGTTTTTTCTCTCTAGAAAATAATTTATGCAACCTCACATATGCGGTTTTGAATTTTGTTGATACGTGGTTTTGTACTTTTAAAAAGGTGTGCCTGCTATTGATACAAATTGATAAGCATTTTATTTACAATATATTTATGTACATACATATGTATGTATGTATGTATGTACAATATCGGTCATATCTATAGCACTCCATTTCAAAGTGATATTGCTTGGCACTTATGTTTGTTTATTTATTTTTAAGAATTTTTAAATCATTCATTCTCTAAAAAACCCCGCAAACATTTTCACCCAAATTTCAAATTTTTTTCTCAGAACTGATATAATATTTTTGAGTACACATTTTTATAGTCCTTCAATATTAATCTGATAATAGGGCTTATGAATAAAAACTAAGCAATCGAAATATTCAGAAGGCTAAAGGTGTTCTTACACGATATATGTTTGCATGTGTACATGGCACTTTTTCCATATGGAAATGCCAACATATCGAGTAAAGGCAAATTAGATTTGTTTCTGTACAAAGCAGATGCACATACATGGAAAATAGAAATGTTTCTATTTTCATCTGACACACAGATAGAATCATCTGAGTTTTATTTATTTCATTTTCAAAGAACGTATTTTTAACTAGTTAAGTAAAGACTGTGAATTTGACAGACATACGCAATTACATATGTATTGAAAACGTCACATTTACAGATGCAAATACACGTCGTGTAAGAACACCTTAAGTGATTACTAAAGCACGTCCGTCGTTCTCGCTATCAAATATCGAATGTCTCTTTATTCCGCTAACTATTTACATGATCGTGTCCTGGGCGGTCATGTCTTAAGAGCTAGACCCATAACTCTGTCACTAATGTTTAGTGCAGGTATACTACATACTCTTACACAATTGCTCTTTCTTAAAATTTCAAACGTTTTACTCGATTTATTTAAATAAATTCAAGTAAAATGTCAGAAATTGTTGGGGAAAAGCAATTGCTTATATGTATTTAATACATACGGTCCAATATGCAAGTTTCAAGTGGGTACATATTGCGTTTGATTGTGTTAGAATTTTTTTGCCGAAGCTGTTGAGGTTTTGTGCAATATACAAATAAATTAAGTTTATTCGTTAATTTTTAAACCACACAAAAAAATCAATATACATATTCACAAAACTAGGAGCCAAATATAGCATAGCTGTGTTTTAATTTTTCTCTCTGACGTCAGGATTTTTTAAAGGACTTCGAAATTTCTAGGATATGATTGAATAAAAAAAATATTTTAAAATATTTGGTGCATTGCAGAGTAGCAATATATGATTGAATAAAAAAATAATTTAAAATATTTGGTGCATTGCAGAGTAGCAATATGGGTATCGAATAAAAGGGAAAATTCTGTAGAATTGAAAAAAAAAAAATAATTTTTTTGGTGCACCAGGGCAAATAAGTGTGCAAAATGCCCTTTTAAAACTTTATCCTTGAATATTCTTGGAAATTTTGAAAAAAATATATGTCAAGGACTAATATGTAAACTACCACGTCGAATTTCTTCCTTCTAAATTTATTAGTTTTAGATAAAAAAAATTTACACTTCTCTTCATAAGATATTGATAGTTACAATATATGTACATAAATGAAGATACTGGAATCGTTACTCCGTACAGCACTCGGATGTGTATTGGACCAAACCAGTTTTTTTTCTAAGAGATTGAGTCATAGTTAAAAAATTAATTTCTCCGATTTTCGAAGTTAGCCTCCGAAATAACTAAGAAACTAACAAGCAATTTTTAGCAAAAAAAACCGACTTAAAAAATATATATATACATATATGTATATGTATATATTTCATGATCCAATGATCGGATCTTAACCACCTCTGAAACACTACCTTTCTGGTGCAAAAAGAATTATCGAAATCGGTTGACGTGGTCCAAAGTTATGCGTCGTGGAAGTCGGTTAAAAATATAGACGTAGTCCACCTTTTGCTCTTATTTAAATGGTATATAACTTTTTTTGTGCAAACTTATATTACATGTGCTATAAGGGGTCAAAGGTCGGGTCTTGGAAAAATTAGAAACATTCTTCAAACAATTTTGAACTGATTTAAAAAAAATTAGTTGTAAATGTTATTAAATCCCCTTTCTTCTAATATTCATATTTGTATAATTCGTGTGTAAAAATTAAAAAAAAACATTTCAATGGAAAAAATACCTTCTTTTTATAAAAAATAAACTATCTTAAACAAAAAAAGTTACTAACAGATTTTTAAAAAATTGATATCGTTGTAAAGACGATTAAACTACTTTTCTTCTGGTATGTATACAAATTTGAGAAAAAACATTTCAAAGCAAAAAATACCTTTTTTATAAAAAAAAAAATATTTTAAACAAAAAAGTTACAAACCGATTTCTTTAACCCAAACATTTCTATTTATATACACAAAATAATTTAATTAAAAACATTTTTTCCCTTTATGTAAACTCCTGCCCCCTAGGTGAAAGGCTGGCTACGCCCTTGTACACAAAACACTTAAAGTATTTAAACCATATATCATACGGTCAGTTTGTTCTTTTTGAGCGCATACATGGTTCCATAATAATGATTCCAGTACCCACCATGCAAAACATGAGAAATAGGCAACAATCGTCAATGGCAACAAATTGGCGACTCACCGATTTATTGCTGTGGTGACAAATCGGCAACATCACTTCATTCATGTCAATTTTGAATAAAAAAGTTCTCAAAAATTCGGAAACTTATGAATATGGCGTCAATAGCATTGGCCAAAAGCATCTAAATTATGCCCAAGGACAAGATTGAAAAAATAGGAAGTCTCACAGCGAGAAAATGAATTAATTCCGATTGTAAGTTGCAATTTGGTATACAAAAAAATAAATGAAGTATTAAGAAGAATAAAATTATTCCAAATATCGCCTGAACCAATAAGAAAAGGACTCATTCAGGTAATAAGAAAACGACTCACCCAGGCGAGTTGCCTTCGGCGGACGTTTTAGAGCGACCGGTAATAGGAAATCGATTCGATGGCAATATTACCGGCAATAAATTTGTTTCCGAGGGCGACACGTTTTCTTATTGCCGGCAACACAAATTGTTTGGTGGGTATTTTCATATACATATGTACATACATACATATATTGTAACTATCAACATCTTATAAAGAAAAGTGTAATTTTTTGTTTATCTAAAACTAGTAAAGTTAGAAAAACGAAATTCGAGGAGTTGTAGTTAACATATTAGTCATTGACACATATTTTATTCAAAAATAAATATTGGAAATTTCCAAGAATATTCAAGGACAAAGTTTTAAAAGGGCATTTTGCACACTTATTCGTCCTGGTGCACCCAAAAAAAATTTTTTTCTGTTCTACAGAATTTTTCCTTTTAACTGATACCCAAATTGTTATTCTACAATACGCCGAATCTTTTGAATAATTTTTCTGTTCAAACATATCCTGACGTCAGAGAGAAAAACTAAAAACGCAGTTTTACTAAATTTGGCCCCCAGTTTTGTGAATGTATTGACTGTCGCACGGTGTTATCAGACTAAAATTGAATGAGCTATACCACTGTTTACTAAAAAAATCTAACACTTCTGATAAAAAGTTTGAAATTTGGGTGAACTTTTTTTGTAGTTTTCTATAAAGTTTTAAACTTGGATTTATATGACTTTTATAAGAGAATGAACTGCATTTCAATTGAAAATTCTAAAAAGTAAAAAAAAAAAAATTAAAAAAAAAAATTCTTAAAATTACTTTGAATAAGCGTGCTATGGATATGACCGATACCATATGTATTTACACCAGGAGGTCTATCTTGTTATGCGATAATGTTTTTTAATCCAGTTTACAACAACGAACACTAAATAATAAAGAATCATGCAACCTCAAATTTGTTTCATTAAGAACAAATATTAGTGTAAAGCTCTTAAATTTTTTGTTTTGTCCAAGATATCATTACATGGCTGCAAAATAAAAAAGGCTATTTTTCAGCGAATCAGTAACGTCCATTTGTTTCATATGTTTTTTTTTCCAAAATATATTTCGTAGAAGTATTTACTGAGATGTATTTTAAAAACGATACCTGTTTTAAGCAAATGCGCAAGTAAGGAGGGATCATTTGAGAAAATATGTCAGTACTATTGTTTTACATGGACCGCAATGTATCTTAATGTATGTACGTATCGGTCCTTTATTAAAATACAGTGATAACTCAAACCAAATTTTGAGCAAATTTTGCAGAATTACTCGTTATATCTAGCTTCATTTTGTGTACGAATTTCGTGCTAAATCGCTTTCTCTCTTTTACTTTAAATGCCTCCCCTTTGTATGTTTATATTTAGAATGCTACATTCGACAGCTTTTTACTTTGTTCTAAATAAATTGTACTTATCTACCACTGAAGATGACGCCCATACTTTTTGCTCTGATTAGTTCCTTCTTATTTGCTTTGTACTTGTGTATATGCGTTTATTGCATTTACATATGTACATATCGTCGTTTAAAGTACAAAACCGCGTATCACCAAAATGCAAAACCGCGTGAACCATGTGAATTATGTAAATTATCTTCTAGAGAAATTAAAAAAAAACACTCATATTTCAAAATGGTTCTCTTTTTTATAAAGCAATCGCATACCTGGCCAGTATATTTCAGGACGAATGGATAAGGATTGAGCCAAGAGCTTGTGTGAGCAAACCCAATTTTTGGCAGCTAATGCCAGTTACGCGGTTTTGCAGAATGACGATACGCGGCTTTGGACTTTAAACGACGATATGCATATATACATACATATATTTGAAAACCTCGCAGCTTTATCAGTAAAACTACTTAGCACATTAAGTAACTATTAATTAATCTGAGGAGGTGCAGTGGCATAATTTCGTATACAGGGTTTTATTCAATGAGCGAAACTTCTTTGTGTGACTCTAACAGCAGCAGAAATCAACTAATCCTAACTTCTGAAGAGAGTACAATCTTATCCACCAAATATGCTTCAATATTAATACTATAATTTTCAAGTAAAATAAGCAGATATTTGGTGCCTCTATAGCAGTGTCCGAGGTATAACGGAAATCATGCGACTTTATGCTTAGTTTATACAGATCACCTCCGACATCTGCTGCATCCGGTAGCGTGCCTAGTTTACCTAGAATTAACGATTTCTTTCATATACATAAAGTGATAGTTGATATGTATTTTCATTTATCTTCTACTAATAAATGTAAATTAATCTTATCTTTTCAGAAAAGTATCGAAAACGAAGATGGCATTAAGAACAATTTAGTTTCGGTACGTCAGTCGGACTTCGAAGTGTTTCAGGCGCTTGCCAAAGATAGTGAGAATGCACCAAACTACGCTGAACGAGAATATTCACAGGAGGTGCCACAACCTAAGCCATGGGAAAAAGTTTCTGGACCCCCAGTGTTGCCGCCTCATTTATTGCAAGTCATACTTAACAAAGACACGCCATTATCGGTGAGTATAGCATCAGTTATACTTAGTTTAAATTAAGACAAGTCCTAAAATATCTGAAATATAATTTTTTACTATTTCAGTGTGAACCCACATTGCTCCCTGAGCCTAATCATGTTATGCTTAATCATCTGTATGCACTTTCTATCAAAGATGGTGTTATGGTGCTGAGCGCAACACATCGCTACCGCAAGAAATATGTTACCACTTTACTTTACAAGCCCATATAATATGGTACACCATGCGTTATAAAACATAAGTAGGTATAGTTAAAGAGACAATATTGGCCATAATTATATCTATGTTTTTTAAGCTATCCTTGTTTGTGAATTAAAAGCCTCAGCGAATACGCGTATTTCACGGTTATTTTCATATTTGGTACAAAAATATCAATTATTGTATACTATGTACCTACATAGGTATATCAGCAATACGGTCTGAATTGGCGCAGTACGAGCATGATGTATTACTAATATTTTGAAAAATGGTTATTATGTTAAAATGCTAGTTTAATTAAAACATACAAATATTGCTAGGAGCATAGTTAAATATATATATTTTATTTCTATTAAATTTTAACTATAAAAAATATTAAAAAAAAAAATTAGATTTGAAAAATAAGCAAACTTTGTTTAACTATACATCTTCACAAATATTAATCAATCAATCTTTACCATCTCCTCATGAATTAACAGAAATACATGATTTTTAAAATTTGGTCTAGTTATTTTTTATCGCCTGAAATGAACCGCTTTCATCGAAGAGCACTTTAGTAAAATATTCAACAAAAATTCTTTCCATGTATTGCGCACTTTTAAATGGCAACCAGCCTTCGAGGAAACCAATATGGCCCCCATATTCAGTTAAAACCATTGCAACATTTTTGCTTTTCTGTACAATTTCCAATGGCAAGGCTAAAAAAGAGGCGTTAATAAAGAAAAAATTAATTTGATATCAACAAATAGATTATGTAAATATTTAATACATACCTTCGATTGGTTGAAATATATCATCGGCGGCACAAAGGCACAGCAGCGGTACTGACACTTTCTCTAGTTTATTATGTAATTTTGCATCTTCGTAGGCTGCATCTAAGGTAGGAAACACTGAGCTTTTCACCAATAAGTTTGTTATAAAATCGCTGATCTTTTTGCTCTGTGAAAATATTTTCTCTTATAATTTTTGAAATGTAATATCAGAGAAACTACACCTATGTACATATGTGTGGTTATTACTTACCGTAAGCACAAGATCCAAATTAATATTTGATTTCTTTAAAATTGTATAGTTCTTGACTAATTTTAAAACTTCCCGCATTATTGCATGATTAAACGTCCTATTGAAATAAGGTTTTTCCATACTCTTCATACCTGAAAAATAAATGTATTTAAAAAAGCAGTTCTTTTATCTAAAAATGAATCACCCAGTCCGGCGAAGAAAACAGTTTCGAGGAACTAGACTATTTACCGCTGATGTGTTTTAAGTCTCTGAATAAGTTTCTAATTATTTCAAATAGCCTATAAAATTTGATATATTTTAGGGAAATTTTTTGATTCGTAACTACAGTTAAGCCTTTGGTGGAAATATACTATAAGGTTTAATCATTAAATAAATAATTGTAGTTGCGGTACTTCCAGGGAAAGGGGTGATAGCTGAGTAGGTCTAAGAGCGCAAGTGAGGAGGTAGTCGGTGTCACGTGGGGTGCCATAACAAGCTGGGCACGTAATGGGTATGAGTCTTGATAAGTATGAATTTCAATTTCCACAATATTCAGACCCTAACTGCACCAGCTCTTTATTAATTTTATTGCGGCACCCCAATACGCAACAATTGTCAGCGTATCTCATCAGTGAAACTTCCTTTCATGACTTAAGAAGCTTCGAGATGTAGATGGTTGATTTCAAGGCTTTATACGAGGTTCTCCGGTAGGGTGCAGTGACAAAAGGTGTCGAAGGTTTTCGATAAGTCTTAACTCTACTAGGACAGTTCTGTTGTTGTTGTTGTAGCGGCTAAAACAACCCCGCCCAGATCGGTTGATATCTCAGTCGTTGTCGTCAAGTTCCACTAACGGCAGCCCTAAGAAGCGTGCAGCCTCAGTAGGGTCGGTCCACAGGGACAAAGGCTTTAGGGTTGTCGGGTTTTCCGGGCATACGAAGAGATGTTTCGAGTCATGGGGTGTCTCTCCGCATGCCGGACACTCATTTGGTACATCTGCGTTTAGTCTGCTCAGGTATGAGTTTAACCTGCTGCAGTAGCCAGAGCGAAGTTGGGCTATTGTGGTTCTAGTCTCCCGAGGTAGATGAAGCTCCGTCTCGTCAATGTCCGGTGGTTGTGCACGTGGAACGGCATTCACAGGTCTGGAGTCTACATAACTCGAGACTGACTCACTGTGAATGCCGTTCAGGGCCTGTCGATAAGCTGACGGGTCCAGAGGTTGTTTAATGAACCTCTGGACTTCGTCCGTCAGTAGGAGGGCAGTTCTCTTGCAGAGCGATTTCGGTAAAGGCTACGAGTTACCTGAGTTTTTTTTTGTTGGCAGCCTTCTGTCACGCCAGGAGTGAAGTTGCAAGTTAACAGGTGATCTTCCTACTAGAGATGGGCAAAAGGTGTGATTTTCTACGTGTCGCGTCGTGTCACGCTTTTCCACGCGTGAGCGTTTTTGAGAGAAAAATCACGTAACTTTCGTGATCGTGTGTGACTGAAATTTTTGCTGGCGTGAGCGTGCGTGAGTTAGTTTTCCGTCAATCACGTAATTTTCACATGCTGAGCCCTAACCGCCAGAAAGATGTAAGGACATTCTTTTAATAGTATCTTTTTGATGCGTAAATGTTCCTAGAGCACAGCTGGGCGGCGTCTGCCCGGCGGGCGACTGCTCGTCGTATTCGCGTATACCTACACGCTATACTTGAGGAGGCTGCGAAAGCTTCATTCAACTGCACGACTTGTTCGCCCGCACACAGTGACATCAATTGCACGCACACTACAAAAATGCTCTGCCGATGCTGCCCCCTCTGTCCTAGAGCATCAAAATGTCGCTCACGTGCCCATCTCTACTTCGTACTGTTTATGCTGGTTTATCAGTTCCTGACAAAGAATGATCCTTTGCCAGTAACCAGCTACAGCCGGGGAAATGACTACGCTAGTTTGCCAGATTACATTTTTTTGTAGGGTCCTGAAGCTAATTTAAATTTAATTTCAATTGAAGAAATCCTCTCGCTAATTTTGAATATTCAAGGCCACGCGATTATATACATACATACATACATATGTATTAACTAATGCCGAATTTCCACTAGGCATTGAAATGACAAAAAATTGGAGGCATTTAAAATATGCCATGTGGAAATGAATTTAATAACTATTTTGACAAGAATATTTTTAATGCCCAAGTTTGTCATTTAATGCCTAGTGGAAATCCAGCATAAGATATTCATTTACCCAACTTCAAGTCACAAGGCGGTGAAATCATCATAGCTGCAGTAAGGTATTTACTAGCTTCTTCTTTCTCGTCCGCTAAATAAGCTCCTACAAAGGATAAAAGAAAACAAAAAATTAAAATCTTTAATTTCTTCATGATCAATCATCTGGACTATCGCTGAATCCAACGTCCGATTTTTCCGCTGCGAACGTAAGTATGCATACGTATGCTACGTTCGTGGCTATTCCAATTCAGTGACAGCGTTTTCGTAGATTCAAAAAAGAAGAAGACTACGATGGATTCAGTGATAGCTCTGAATAACTTACCCAACGTTAAAGTGCCCATGGAGACAGCGGCAATGCCAAGCTTACTATCTGATGGCAACTTCTCACGCACATGCCGTATCACCTCTGATAGATCCTCGTAGCAATTCAGCGTATATAGTCGCGGTGTTTTTAATGACACCCCACCTAAACCACGATAATTACAGCAGACGACCCGAAAACCAGCTCTATTGGCATTCATCACCAAGCTTCTAATATATTCCGTTTGAGAGTGTCCTATAAAGCCCGGTATGATTATGATGCAAGGTGCATGTTCTTTGCATCCATCCTCCAACCAATGCAAGCCTAGTTCGCCACCATCTTTTAATTTTAGTATTTCACTAAAGATTTAAGAAATGTTAGTTGGTTAGTTTCAATATTAACGTTATCATTTTCTAATCTTACCGCCTGTATTTAATTTTAGGCAAAACTAATTCCCGTATTGCATTTGCTATCAACGTTTGAGGCCCACCACCTAAGCACCAAAAAGTTGGCCAATACTTTTCGTTTATGGTGTGTAAATTTGATTTGAGAAAGTCTTTTAACGGGCCATCAGCAGAAATGAGACGCGATCGCTGATTTAAGGAATTTTAAAGGGATTTATTATTTAGTGCTTCCAGTAGCAGCAGCAGCAGCATACTCACCTGTACAACGTGTGTAAAGTAGTAAACGAAGAAAGCATTAATAGCTATGAATAATGAATGCCACAAATAAGACATATTGCAGATTTCAAAATACATTATTGTCGGAACTAAATAAAGTATTGTTTTAGTTTTTTTTTAAGAAAAAGTTACTTTATTATGACCCAAAATTCGCACAAATTTGAAAAATAACCGAGGACCAGCACTGAAAGTTGTGCGCTATAGCACCTTTCCTAATGAGTGAGATTTCCGTTTAAATGCAGCGCTTAGATCTTTAACTGAAATCATGTACTTAGTATTATTTAAATTTAAATATTTTACTATTTCTCATATCGATTTAATGTTGTTTTTTTTTTGCTTTGGTGCAACGGTAAAAAAGAAGCTGTACTTAGTTAATATTACATAGAATATACCCACCGCACGTTGTTATTGTAGACTCTCTAACTGAAATAAAAATAAAAAAAGGTACAGGTTAAAATGCATTACTAGAATCCAAACGCTAATGGCTCGAGGAATATCCTTTTACTTCTCTTTTGCTATAACAGCTGGGATCACGTACTTGGGTGCAATGAAAATGTCAGCAAAAGACCGTATTTATTATTTACAGACCCTTCCTTCTCATATTACAAATTTTTATTTGTAGACAGGCCTCATATGTACATATATAACTACATACTTCATCCAAAATTTTCAAATCCCCCAAAACCGCTCAAATAAAATTTGAATTATACATATGCACTTAAGACCGTACCACCTTAAAATCACACAAAAAGTTCGTCGTGCATCCCTGGGACTAAAATAATTTTGCTAGGCTATTTCGAAAAACGTTTTATTTATGTTTTGGTCGAACCTAGGGGTCACCTTTTTACATTTTTCGGCGACACTTACATTCGGCAATATTGTTTTTTTTTTTTTTAATCAGAGACCGGTAAAACCGTTAAATATCAAGAACTTTATTTTTAGATCAGTGCAAAATAGTTGTTTTTGGTTTTTATTTTTTCCGATCTAGAATAATCGTTAACTTTGGATCTTTATTTTTTCGGTCAAATCTAATCGTTATTTTGTGATTTTTATTTTTCGGTAATTTTAATAGTATTGTTGGAGAATGCGTTTTTATGACAGCTTTAAATCTTTTACAATCTAAAAAAAATAAATATAAAAATAATAGTTATATGCATATGAATTTATCGAAAAAATAAAACTACGAAAATAACGATTATTCTGAATCGATAAAATATAAATCCTAAAATAACGGTTAAATTTCATAAAAAAAAAGAAATTCAGTTTAAACGGTTAAAATAACGGGTGATTTTTTTGAGGTTAGGATTTTCATGCATTAGTATTTGACAGATCACGTGGGATTTCAGACATGGTGTCAAAGAGAAAGATGCTCAGTATGCTTTGACATTTCATCATGAATAGACTTACTAACGAGCAACGCTTGCAAATCATTGAATTTTATTACCAAAATCAGTGTTCGGTTCGAAATGTGTTTCGCGATCCCAATTGCTGCGAACGGCGACGAATCGACATTTCACGGTCTTCAGCAACACTCTCAGAAACAGACGCAATATTCTCTTCTGTACGCACTGTACGCATTCGTGTGGTTGGTTTAATGTCCAATAAAGTAAACTGAGTGCGAAACTTGGTCACAATCGCATTAATTGTTTGCTCACTTGGTCGATTATGTAGACCATAAATCGGACGTAAAGCGAACCGAACACTGATTTTGGTAATAAAATTCAATGATTTGCAAGCGTTGCTCGTTAGTAAGTCTATTCATGATGAAATGTCAAAGCATACTGAGCATCTTTCTCTTTGACACCATGTCTGAAATCCCACGTGATCTGTCAAATACTAATGCATGAAAATCCTAACCTCAAAAAAATCACCCGTTATAATTCTTATTATAAATACCATAACCGTTGCGGTCCCTGTTTAAAATAGTTCTACTGGAATAATAAAAGCTTTAGTGAGTGCTGACATTAGGGTGATAAGAAATTAGATCTGGTGGGTACATATTTAAACGGGTTACTTAAGGTCGATAAACTATGGATAAAAAAAAAAATGTCTCCTCGAGACAAGAACATCGATATATGTATCATACTTCAAGACGGTAAGTTCCGAAGATATGACGAAAAATGTAGAAAGTCAACACCTACGTTCGGGCAAAAAATTTTTTTTTTTTTTGTTGTCGAAATTTCTTTGTTTCGCTAAGGCGAATTATTTTTATTTATTTATGTTACGATAAGTATTTGAAATCATGTTAAGTAAAATTTGTGTTGGGTATGATTTCGTTATAGCAAAAAAACCATACTGTCAGAATCGCCATATTACTTAATATCATTACCCAGCGGACAAACACAAGAGCCGTTAGTGAGAGTCTGGCAAAATGTTCGCAAAAGAGCTCACACGTCAGCAAAGAACGTTTGAGAAACTTTTTGATCGTAAAACTCTCGCGCACCAGCATTGTAGCTTGAATTTTCCGATAAAAATGTGAACAACATATCGTCATAAATATATGTAAAATATCGTCAAAAAATACAAATATTCAGTTAAGTACGCAGAAATTATCGCTACCGCTTCTTCTATGTTGTGTAAAAATTTCATAGCTGTATCGATTACCAGCATCTCACTGGATGAAAATATGTATTATTTTTTACTATGGGAGTATATCTCACATTTCACTCGCATGTGGTATCACTAGCGAGCATTTGGCCCGCTGGGAGGTAGGAAAATCATTACAATATAATATATAATACGCTCCACATATGTACATATTTACTTGTAAGCGTACAAAAAGTATTGAACGTATAAATATGCTAATTGTACTTTGGAGGCGGAAGTAAACACTACGCCGATACTTACCTATGAACTTCCTTTTTATTGTGATTCTAATTATAACCCAGTTAAACACTAGCTAAAACTGTGAATCGTGATATTAACACAATTGGCTGAACTCATTTCACGCTGGAAAACTTGAGACATACAGTCATTAAAAATATTGATACCGGACGAGATGCAGCTATCGTAACCAATGCCATAGAAACATTCGATCTCTTCATTTTTTAGGCAGATATTCGACGATCTTTTTATAAAGTTCAACACTAATAAGGTAGAAGCCATGATAAAAATATAGTAAGGTAGAACCGCTGAGAGTCACTTTTAAAATTCTTGACGTTTCCAAACAATTTAATTTTTAAATTTACTCACAAACTCACACACACATTTTCATTTTGGATCTCAAGCAACAACAATTTCGAACAATTTCAATTTTTTATTTTCACTTTTATATGATTTTAAAATGTTGGCAAACTTAAAAAAAAAAATCATGGCCGACAAATTGAGAGAACGGTTCTACCTTGCTATGTTTTTATCATGGTAGAAGCCATCTTTGTTTAATAATAATAGTATGGCGCTTACACAACACACAAAGGGGAGTGACCTGCAATTTTACGCCGAGCTCTTTGTCATCGCAGAAACGCGCTCAAAGGTTTGCCATTGCCTGCCGAGGGGCGACCGCTATTAAAAAAAAAAAAACTTTTTCTTTTCTTTTGCTTTTGATGTTAGTCGGAAACTGAACTCGATCCCAGGCCCTGTGGTCTCATAAATTTTAAATCTCACAAAATGCTTATGATGGCTTTTGGCTAAAATTTTAAAATCAAGACAGGTAGGAAAAATTATTTACTACTTTTTAGCAGGGTTCGTATTTGCACACACATGCTCTGCTCACACACACGCCAGAAACACATTCAACTTGTACTCACTGCTCATACACATGTGTGTGCATAAGTAGAAAACAAACTCTGCTCACAGAAAAGTGTGTGCTGTTTGTTATTAAGCACATGCACATGTGTGTGAGCCGATTTTTGTACAAATTTCAGCCCATGCACATGCACATAATATATTTTTAAAAGAATTTGTTTATTAAACGTTATTTTTTGAAAGACAATTCAATAA